TATTTTTTTTGGCTTTACTCCCAACCCACTATTGCACATTTTCTCTCATTTGCTGGCCTGATTTCTCTTTGAGACATGCTGTTGTAATCTTTGTGTCCTTATTCACACACAAGATAGAAGTTGTGGGAAGAACCTTTTGCTGCACAGATATGGAGCCATAGTAGAATGTGTATCTGAAAGTGCTTTGATTAAAGGAAAAAGCTCTTTAAAGGTCAGGGGTTGTTATTAAGTAGGGCTGTCTCTCAACCAGCTGGGTACTTGTCAGAAATTTAAGATGCCAAGGAGAAGATACTTACCCAGGATAATTGATGTTGTTGTTAAAAAAGCACTTTGTGGTCAAGTCTCAGCCAAATCTTAGTTTTCCTCATGAGGAAAACCCACAGTAGTGGTGTCACTATTTGGTACTGGTATTGTTCTGCCAGCTATTTAACCTAGACTTGTGGTCCTTTGCTTCATTCAGCTAACATTTAATGACTACCTTTTAATGTTTTATCTATTCATCTGTTCATTCATTAACTGATTAATTCAACAACTACTTTTTGCATTCCCACTCTGTGCTAAGGATACAGCAATCAATGAAATAATCTGAGAATTCTTTGGATTTTGTATTCTAAAATGGTAGCAACATGTAAATAAGAAGAGAGATAAAGATGGAGATCTATCTGGAGTTTTCAGATGATGTTAAGTGCTGAGGAGAAAAATAAAAGCAGGGAAGAGAGTTAGGGAGTGCTGGAGGGATGTGATGACAGATTTAGCTCACATGGCCCAGGAAGAAAAGAACTCATCACAAACATAGTGGCAACTCTGTGATCTAGGGGTTCTATTTTGTAGATGGAGAACCTTGGCTCAGGAAGGTGAAGTGACTTGGTTGAGGTCACACAGGGAGTTAGTAGCTGAGTAGGTATTTGGACCTAGATCTGTGTGACTGTATATCCAGGCTCATGCTACATTACCACATTAAAAAAATGTGTTAAACACAGGGCTAGATTAAGCCAGGATGTATAGAATCCTTCCTTTCTGGCATTAACAATTCTATGCCAGTGGTCTTTTCTAAGGGCTACAGAACATTTTTAATTTCTATCAGCAATACCAGAAATGCCTGATGCTATGTTACATTCTCTCCTGCTCACTTTGGAGTAATTATTTCTGGTTGGAGATTGGTCTAAAAGTTACTGAACAGTGAAAATGGAAGAGACTCCCTGCTGTCCCTTGATGCTGTTAAAATTTATCAGTGTGGGAAGCATCAATATTATTCATGGTAATAAATTATTTAGATTTTTAAAATAATATTTATGAAGCTCTTAAAAGGTAATGCTGACAAAAATCTAAATACATGGGATGCCAGGGAATTCTGGAAGGGAACCACACAATCAGGCTGTTGGTAGGGTGAGAGAGTTTCTGGGCCAGTGAATCCTTTGTGGTCTTATGTAAGAGGCATGTTGCTACCTTGCCATGCCTTGAGGGCAGAGCTTCCAGAATCATTAGCTAGATCTTGTAGCTAAATTCCAACCATGAACATAGGGATTGCCTTTTATTCTGCTGTACCTGTAAAGTCAGGCGGAGTGCCTGATACTTAATTGATGTTTCAATAAATGTTTGTAGAATGAATGTTTATATGATGACAAAGAGATCTAAAACCAGGCAATACAAAGAATGGGTGCTGGAATAGAGAACATACATTGTTCTTTCAATGTTCTCTCACCTATTCCTGAATTAACTCCTGAACCCTGGAATTACCTCTGTGTTAGTTTCCTAGATTTGCCCAAAGAAATATCGCAGACTGAGTGGCTTAAATAGCAAAATTTTATTTTCTCATAGTTCTGGAGGCTAGAAGTCATTGGGGTTAATTTCTTCTGAGGTCTCTCTCCTTGTCTTGTAGAAAGCTGTCTTTTCCCTCTGTCTTCACATGGCTTTTCCTCTGTACATGTCTGTGTTCTGGTCTTTTTTTTTTAATTTGTTATAGCCTTTTCTTATTAGGAGGCCAGCAATATTGGAGTAGATCTTACACTAATAACCTCATCAAACCCAAATCACCTCCTTAAAGGCCCACCTCCAAATACAGTCACATTCTGGAGTGCTGGTGATTATGACTTCAACTTGTGGGTTTTGGGAAAACAGAACAACCTCTTAAGTAAGCAAATTACTTGCACCTAAGTTCTTCTGTCAGCTCTACTTTTGCAAAGGAACCCAAACTAAGCTATAGCACTACTTAATCTCTCTCTTCCCTCTCTTATCTGAAACTACTTATGTATCTATCTATCATCTATCTATCTATCCATCTATTTATATATCTATCTTATCTGCTTGTTCTTGTTTGTTATAATTGTTGCTGTTGGTGCTCTGTGTGTGTGTGTGTGTGTGTGTGTGTGTAGATGTGTGTGAAATTGCATACCAAAAGATCTGGTCATCTGCACAAGAAATTCTGTAAGGAAAATTACAACAGTATCTGAGAAGTAATAGGCCTTTCTTTCCTGCCTGATTGTCTAGTGCTTTTGAGAATGCCATGCTGCTTCCTGAGTTGTCACATGCTATGCAAACCCCATTAAAGGCTATACAAACACCTTTTGAGCTTTCTCACAGCTAAGTAATTATGTCTTGATTGATGGAAAAATAAGCACACTTTGATTACTTATGTAATCTTGAGTTAATTACATTACTTCCAGATTTGTATGTTATTGAGGAAGGTGGTTATCGACTGATTCCAATTAATGTATAACAACTTTATGATATATGTAGAAGCTTTAAACACTTAAGATTTTATAGCTCCCAAGGTTCAATTTAATTCATTCATTCATTCATTTATTCCTTCATTCAACAAATATTTATGGAAGTTTTAATATGTAGATGTGTTTTGGGAGTTAGTGTGGTAGTGTAGAGAATGCATAACATTTGGTATCTGCATTCTAAGATGAGAATATAGGCATCCACATAAACAAAATGTGAACTGGCAATATAGAGATTAGTTGTTCTCGATTTCTGTTGTCATCTTTCCTTGTATCAGTCCAAATGGGAAAATAAAGGCCATTTGGAGGAATGTAATGTAGGGAATTGGTTACACAGGTGATACAAAAGAAGTCAACAAGGGATCGTAAAGCAACCCAAAGATGTGCAGCAGCAGACAGTCCCTAGTCCTTCTTGTTTAGAAGCACCAAAGGAGGTGAGTGTTTCTAGAGTGCAGGGGCAGAGGCAGCAGGAAAAACTTGCCACCAAAGGCCTATCACATGTGGTCTGTAGCTATAGAAATACTCTAGCTCTTGAGAATGGAGAAGGGGGTACAGAATGCTCTGGCTTCCCCCCTTTCTCTTGCTTTTGAGTCTGGTCGGTACTTCTCTAGGGAGTCACAGGCTGTGGAGGTGAGCCTACTTTGTAGTATAGAGCAGGGGAAGGATGAGGAATGGTTCTGAAGGCAATGGATCTAAAGGCAATGGATCTGAATTCTGAGCCTTGCACAGAACTCTAGAGTTTCTCCTTGTCTAATATACATGTCACTTACAGTTAGAGAAAGTGTTTACATTATACAGAAACCACATATAAAGTCTGCTCTTTACAGAGGGAGCTCTCAGTATATGTGCATCGGTGTGTCTGGTGTTTGTATCTGGGTGAGGTGGGAGTGGGAATGGGTAGACTGCTTGCCTAGAAGAAAAGGGAAAAAGATTCCTTCCAAATAGTAGATCAAATAGGAGATGCTTAGTGATAAGCGGTCTACCATCAAAGTAATATATTCAGAAAAGGGAAAAAGGGGTTGAAACTCACTTTGTGATTCAGATGAGGTAGGAATACAATGATATAGTATAAAAATATAGCCTTACTAGGAAGTACTTAGCAGTCATTTAATCCATTAACTAATCATTTCAACAAACATTTATTAAAAACCAGCTATGGACCAGGTGCAGGGTCAGGTGCTGGTGATAATATGAAACCATAAAAATAGTAGGAAAAAACATGTAAGAATTATTTTATTACCTGGAATGGGAAAAATCTGTTGAATTATTATATAATGTGCAATAGCCAGAAGAGAAAAAAAACAGCATGTCTCACTTTATGCATTTAAAAAATATGTAAGCAAAAAAAATGCTATAAGCAGAATCAAACAACAAATGACCCTGGGAAAAATATCTGCAACTTATCACAGCAAAATAGCCAATATCTGATACATAAAATAGCTCTTAACCATCAATATAGAAAACATCACTGACCCAGTGGAAAACTGGGCAAAGGATATGCATAAACAGGTCACAGGAAAGGAAAATCCAAAATAAAAGGCTCTTATTAAAAAGAAAGTCACTTGGCTTTTTGCATAATACAGGAATGAAAATTAAAATTATACCTATACACCACTTTACCTATCAAATTAGCGGAAATTTAAACGTTTGATGATACATCATGTTACCAAGATTGTGTGGAAATGCTCTTATGTGCTACTAATGGGAGGCAAATTGGTATAAGTTAAACAATATCAAACAAATTTATAAATGAATCTAGCCTTTGACCCTCAATTCTATTTCCAGGAAACTATATTATAGATATATTTGCCTGTGTGAAAATGCTACGTGCAATATTATTCTTCATAGCAAATGACTGGGAATAACCTGAATATTCATCAACTGAGGACTGGTGAAATGGAATTATACTGTTGAAGCTTTTTAGAAATAATATGGAAAGATCTTCAAGTTGCATTTTAAGTAAAAAATTAAGGTATATAACAATGTGTATGGTACAGAAGGAAAATGAAAAAAGAATAAATACTCAGATTCACTTCTGTATTCATTAAAAATACCCCTGAAAGGACATACAAAGACTTACTGATTATGACAACTTTTTCTGTTGCTTTGTTTTGCTTGTTCTGTTGGAGAAAGGTATACTGGGTAGCTGGAGAATTTGAATAAAACAAAGATTTTTCCTTTAATGCATTTTTCTATTTTTTGAATTTTGAATGTAGATATATTTTAAGAAACCCAATACCTACATAATCTATGAATAAGTGAATCCCAAATTTTCAGGTTCTCTTTCGGGGTGAAGTCTGGAGGGCTCATCCAGAGGCCCATACAAGGAACCCTCTTCACTTCTCAATGACCTTGACAGCACCGTACTGCAATCCTGTCACCACATGGAAAATCTGAAAACCAACTTTTAAAATCAAAAGGTTAGTACATAAAGAGTATCTATGAAAAGCTTAGCCCATAATAATTATCTTGGAGAATGTTAACTATTATTTTTATCTTCATACTTTGTATGGGGGAGCAAACTGAATCACATAGTCAGAAATAGTCAATGAGATCTTAAGATCCTCTTTTTTATTTCTTATATGGCTCTTGTTGATGTTTTGACACATAGTAGATATTCAACAAGCACAATGGTGATGGCTTGACCTCACCCTGTGGTATTGTCATTCATTAAATGCAGTCATCTTATTGGTGGAGGCCTATGGCATGAAGATAACAGATATCAAAATATGGCAGGTTGTCCTGTGTGGGCCCAAGGAGCTTTACATCCTAAAAGACAAATTCAGTAGGCAAAATTAGTATTAAATCACAACCTAACCTATGGAGGCAACATTGCATGATGGAAAGCACATGGAGCTTGAAGTCAAATGACCTAGTTTATTTAGATTCATAATTCATCCACAGACTGGCCACACAGACCCTGAATGGGTATTTTCACATGTATCAATCACTAACTGCATCCCTGCCAATATCTGTCCTTTCCTTATAGGCTGTTACAAAGCTTGTAAGATCAAATGAGGTTTGAAAGCACCTTGAAACTATCACTTTAAAGTAACATGGAAGTGTGCAGCACAATCCGTGACGACTTCATAATAGTGTCAGGCCTCTTTGCTCACTCTGTGTAAGTGGTAGAGGATTTGTGGCTGGTGAGGAGAGTGTTAAATTTACAGAACAACCCAAGGAGAGACTCACTTACCATAAGGGGAGACCCAGGACTGATGGTAGGCACTTAACAGCATGTTCCAATTACAGCATTTAAATCTAATTGCATACTCTGTTAATCTCTGTCAGTGCGGCATCATTTAATATCATCACCACAGCCTCTAATATCATGAGCAATGTGAGCCGAGCTGAGACTATTGAGAAAGTTCAGTCTCAGGTCTTCATATCCCCTTTAATTCTCTCTGTCAATTACGCCGTAGCCAAGAGTTCAAATAAAGGTCTTGAGATCCGGGGTTGGAGCTACCTTTTTGAAGCAAAGCCTCTTATAAATATACAGATTATATCAGGAGGCTCCAATTCCTTGCCCTGGTTATTTTTGATGGGTTAGTTGCAGTGACTAGTCCCTGGGGTATAACTTACTATAGACTTATTTCAAACAAATATTGTCAATGCAATCTGTTCCATAGATTACAGTTCTGGAAATAATGTGATATCATTTGCACATGTATTTCTCACCCTCCCCAACCCTGACTCAAATAAGGATGGTGGGAAATAACTCCAGACATTCACTTTGCTCAGTTCTTATACATAGCAAGCTGTTTATCTTTGTTTATTCTTATTATAAATAACAGTTGATTAGCATGAAACCCTTGATCATAGCCTTGTATTTTGTAGTGTAACTCTTTAATCCTAAAAATCAAATTTAGCAATGCCACCAAGCCTATTTAAACTCTCTATGAATTCAGAATCATTTATTCAATCAACAAATATCAGATGCATGAGTGCCAGGTCTTTCGGGATTGTGCTGGAGCTCTGGCTGAAAGTTATGTTCTTTTGGAAAGAACCTCAGGCTCCAGTTCTGGTTCCATGTTTTGTAAGCCATATGCTTAGGTAATGTACTAATTTTCTCTAAAGCTAAGATCACTTTTCTGTAATATTTTAATACATCTGCCTCCATTGAAGTCTGTTTGGAGGATTTAATGAGATAATGTATATAAAGTACTAGGTACAGTTTTGGGTACTTTTATCTTGATATGTTTAATTTTGGGTAAGAGTCAATGAATGGGTCTTCTGTATCAACCAATGGATTAAGCTTTTTCTGTGAATTATTGACCCGTTTAATATCCCTGGCAGCCCTGTGCTTAGATACCTTATCACCCCCATTTTCAATTGAGGAGATTGAAACAGAGAAATGAGGTATTTTGTCCATGGTGCCACAGTTGAAATGTGGGGAGCAGGAATGTACACCTAGGAAATGGGAATCCACAAGTGTGTTCTCTAAGACCACAGTAAAATCCATTCTGTACCTGCAAGGACATTTTTTTCAAATCTAGTTGGGGAGATAAGACTTATCAAAAGTAGAAATTGATTAACCAAACACAACCAGGTTATGTGTAGTTAAGTGCCCAAAGTGACTCCACATGCTCGTTGAGAGGCTCAAAGACAAAGGGTGTTAAGGAACAGGCTGAGCTGCTCAGAGACTCCAAATCCATGATACAAATAAGAAAGAAAGGCATTTCTTTCTAAAAAAATGGTGTTGGGATGCCTGTTTCATCTGCCATCCTCACATGAGGGTTGGATTCCATGTAGCTGTTCCAGGTGTTGTTGGTCTTGGGTTCCTCCTGTCTGGGTGACACAGTGGTGCAGTATGGTGACTGAGACTTCTGCCATTTTCTGCCTGTGGGACCTCAGATGGGGCACAAAACTCTCTGCTGCAGATTTCTCATTTGAAAAATGGGTATAATAATGGAGTTCATGATATAATTGGAAAAGGTTTAGAACAGTGCTTGGAGTATTATGAATGTGTTATCATTATTTGTGTACAGTGAGCTCTCAGTATTTGCCCATCAGTTGGCTCCTTGAGATGGGCATTCTACTTTTTGGAGACGCCTGAGGTGAGGTTACTCTTTTGAAATAAGTGATATGTGTAATCTCCTCCCCCTGAAATTCCTGCAGCACATGTGGGGGACCCAGATGGAGACTATGGAAGATAGAGGCAGAAAGACCAGCCAGAATGTAGAAGGGAGAGCAGCAATATTAGTAAGGGATGGGACCCCTGTATCAGTAAGGGATGGAACCATAGTATAGGTGAAGACTTAATCCAGTCCTTCCCTTTCTTTTCTTCTGAAGAAGAAATAAACTAGTTTTGGTCAAAGACACATTGTGGGCCATGGAACTTAGGCAAGGAAGCTTTAGCACTCTAGGCACGGCCTTCTTTTTGGAGGCCTTATCCAGCATCATTTCAAACATTAAAATGCAGCCACATCCCCCATATCCTATAATGATTAATAACCATATGCATTGAGTCATAATCTAGTAGCTGACAAAATGTTGCATTCATTCAGGGGTGTCCAGCCTGTGGCCCATGGGCTGCATACATCCCAAGATGGCTGTGAAAGTGACCCAATACAAAGTTGTAAATTTATGTAAAACATTATGAGATTTTTTTTTGTGATTATATGTCACAATATATTTAATGTGTGGCCCAAGACAACTCTTCTTCTTCCAGTGTGGCCCAGAGACCCAGAGATGCCAAAATGTTGGCCACTCCTGATTGTAGGTACTTAATGCAACAGTTGTTCATCCTGATTTGTAGTTTTTACTACTTATGTAGAAATACACACACAAACACACACATATACAGGTCTATGGCACTGAGCTCACCATCCTGAATGAATTAAATAGTTTTGATACTGGTGGTTAGGAGCAGATGATTCGGTCAAAACAGAAAATTGATTAAAATGATGATTTTGCTTTTTTAAATTTCTTTTTGGGGAATTTCACTCAGAACCTTTGTGGTTGGACTTTCCTACCCATGGGAGAGGAGAAAGAGGTCACACACTCTTGCTTGTTTTATTTTGGGGGGATTGCTCTTCACCTGGGATGGTGATGTAGGGTTGTCTGCACTTCCAGTCACTGAGGAGGTTGAACTCTGCCTCCAAACGCCTCTCAGGGTCAAGAGGAGACTCAGTCAAAAAAAAAAATGCATAAATGTGTATTTAGGTCTGATGTTGGAGTGGGGAGGAAGATTCTGGAAATGTCCCATAGCTCAGTCCAGATTGTTAGAGGTGGGCAAAGGACTTGAATAATGATGTGAACTTTAGTAAGGGCCAGTTACATCACAGAGGAAGGGAAGTTGGAAGCCAGGGAAAAGGGATCCCAGTTGCAAATCCAGCAAACTCCAGTGCCCCTTGCTGATTTAAGCAGCAGATTTTACAAAGATATCCCTCTTTGTTCCATGGGGACCCAGAAACTTCTGTGAGGTCTGTGTGAGTCATTTAATTACTGGCAACTTGGCAGCAGAGACCATTCCTGGAGGCAGGGCTGTGAGGATCTCCATGAGACAGTCAGTTTTCTTACTTTAACTAGTCCAGGGTAAGCCCTGCAGGAACTTGGTAAAATGCCATAAAATTTTAAACTTCTACTTGTTTGCCATTTTGGTGACCCCTTATCTGCTTCTTGGCAGTGATGAGCAATAAAAACTCTCTTATAATAAAAAGGGCTAATAAGCTTGCCTTCCAGGAAGCAACATATATTTTAAAAAGATACTTAATAATATAACCCAAATTAGAGATACTTATAGAGAGGCAGAGATGAGTCCACAGCTGGGGGTGGATTTGAGATGGGGGTGAGAATAGTGTTAAAGAACTCAGGTTTTTGAGTTAAATTAACTTGTGTTTGAATTTAATTTGGAGCTTATTAGCTGTGTGATACTGAGAAAATTATTTAACCTTTGTGAAACTCAGTGTTCTCATCTGTAATATGACTACTTACTGTAGCAACATATTTTCTCTAAAATTCTTATCATAATGCTTGGTACACATAGAAATTTAACGCAGGGAAGTAAAATAATGTGGAGGAAGCATAGAAATTTTCACACAGCATGGAATTTTAAAACAAATTGTTGACAACACTCACCACCAACTTGTTTAATCAAATAAAACTGGCATGTGTGTGAATGGAGAAGTTACTTTGGGGAAAGAGTTTAAAGGAAGTTAGCATCCATTTCCCACTGTAATTGAATTCTTGGAGTTTTTCAAGAAGGGAAAACTGATAGCTCATTCTCCAAGTAGAAGTTTGCTAGATTTAAAGTACCTTCAGGATTCTGGAGTTTGGAGTCCAAAGTGATGCAGAATGTTGGAAAGGGGCAAAGATCATCCCACCTATTATTGTGGTTTCTCAAGGAACAGTGGAAAATCATGCATGCTTCTTCAGGCCTTGAGTTTGGGATAATGAAGATCAGGAGATTGGT